GGGGGAGACCCCGGCTCCGCCGCCCCCTGCTCCTCTCCTCCCGGCTGGAGACATGCACCAGCAAGGAGCAAAACCGTCCCTGTCCGTGCATTCAAAAGGCTCAGAGCAGCCCTCTGTGTCGATCTGATGCCGTTTGGACAGGGCTGGGGAAGTCAGCAGCACCTCGGCCTCCTGTCGAGTGAGCACAGCCCCTTAGCCAGCTCACTGCAAGCATCTCCCCAAAATCACCGGCACCATGAACCAGCTCCTTCAGTCAAACGTCCCAGCAAGTGGTTGAAGATCAGTTTGGCTTGGCCATAACCAGCTAGGTAATTTAACTTTGGTGCAAGAAATGAGCTGTTTCTGGCATGTTTTCAGCATCTAGCTAGCGCTTAAAAACCACCTGATAACAAATTTTAAGCTTTATGGGCTTGGTGTGTAGCTTGCGTCGGTATAGAACCATACAACCATGGAATGGTTTGGTTGGAAGGGACCTCTGAAGATCATCTAGTCCTACCCCCTTGCTGTGGGCAGGGACATCTGTCTCTAGATCAGGTTGCTCAGAGCCCTGACCAACTTGACCTTGAACACTTCCAGGGGCATCCATGACTTCTCTGGGCAATCTGTTCCGGTTCCCCACCGCCGTCATCGTAAATAATTTCTTCCTTACGCTCAATTGTCCTGGTTTCAGCTGGGATAGAGTTGATTTTCTTCCTAGTAGCTGGTATACTGCTGTGTTTTGGATTTAGTATGAGAATAATGTTGATAACACACGGATGTTTTAGTTGTTGCTAAGTGGCACTTACACTGATCAAGGACTTTTCAGCTTCCCATGCTCTGCCAGCGAGGAGGTGCACAAGAAGCTGGGAGGGGGCACAGCCAGGACAGCTGACCCAAACCGGCCAAAGGGATATTCCACAGCATATGACGTTATGCTCAGTACATAAATTACGGGAAAGCTGGCCGGAGGGGGCAGTGACTGCTGCTGGGGACTGGCTGGGCATCATCACTGGCGGGTGGTGAGCAATTGCATCGTGCATCAGTTGCTTTGTATATTATTTTTATTTTTATTTTTATTATTATTACTACTACTATTTTACTTTATTTTATTTCAATTATTAAACTGTTCTTATCTCAACCCATGAGTTTTCTCACTTTTACTC